ATATACCTAGTAATGGAATGGCTGGGTCAAATGGTATTTCTAATTCCAACTTTTTAAGGAATCACCATACTGCTTTCCACAGTAGTTGTATCATTTGACAGTCCCAGCAGCAATGTAGGAGAGTCCCGATCTCTCCACATCCTCGCCACCATTTGTTATTTTCTGTCTTGTTGAATTTTGCTACTAGTGCTGAGGCAAGATGGTATCTCATTGCTGTTTTGATTTGCAACTCTCTAATGGCTAATGACTATGAACATTTCTTCATGTGTTTGTTGGCCACCTGAATATCCTCTTTGGTGAAGTATCTATTCATGTCTTCTCCCCATTTTTTAACTGGATTATTTGTCTTTTTGTGGTTGAGGTGCTGGAGTTTTCTATAAATTTTATAGGTAAGCCCCTTATCAGATATGTCATTGCCAAGAAGTTTTTCCCAATCTGTAGGCTCTCTTTTGACTCTTCTGGAGACGTCTGTGGAAGCACATAAAAATTTAATTTTTATTCCATTGGTCTATGTGTCTGTCATTGTATCAATACCAGGCAGTTTTGACTATCGTGGCTGTATAGTAGGTTTTGAGATCCGGGAGTGTGAGACCTCCTACTTCTTCTTCTTCAATAAAGCTCTCATTGCCATCGAGTCGGATCCAACTCATAGCAGCCCCTCCTTGGGTTTCTGAGGCAGTATCACTATAGAAGCAGATGGCCCGATTTTCCTTCTGAGGAGTGCCTGGTGGGTTTGAACCACCAGCCTTCTGGTTAGAAGTCAAATGTCTTAGGCACTATGCCACCAGAACTCCCTCTTCTTCAATAGTGCTTTGCTTATCCAAGGTCTCTTTCTTTTCCATATAAAGTTGGTGGTTGGTTCTTCCATATCCTTAAAGAATGGTGATGGGACCTGGATTGGGATTGCACTGAATGTACAGATTGCCTTGGGTAGAACTGACGTCTTTACAATGTCCAATCTTCCTATCCACAAACGTGTACATTCACCCCGAAGTCTTAAAACCAAACAATACCTTAACTAGGATGCCTGCCTTAAGCATTGCGCTTTTTAAGATCTGTCTAATGGGATCAAACTGACAACAGCAATCCAAGTTTGGGTGGGAAACTGAGGGGACAAGGAGTTTCCGTTACCAGAGGAAGAACAACTCAGAAAAGGAGGCTGAGGAGGCTGCACAACTCAAAGAATGTCATCACTGTCACCAATTGTACAGGCAGAAACTGCTGAATGGGTCTATGTTCTGCTGCACATATTCACAACAACAACAAATTTTATATCTTTAGAAATGTCTTAAAATTAAGTCTGAACACCTGGGAAAAATCTTGGCACCTTTCCCCATAAAAAAGAATTGCAGAGAGAAAAAGAGACGCTCTGGGCACATCATTATCTATTTGTAAGTCTGTCTTCAAGCCAGAAAGAAAGCTCAGTAAAGGACCGGGACAGCATTTATCATGATTCTGTTTTGTTTCCTCGGAACCTAGTATAGTTCATGGCACAGAGCAGGAGTTCACTATTTGTTTTCTACAAAGGAGTCTCAGGATAGAACTTGCCATTTTAGCTCTGCAAAGACACTCTTAACCAGAGGTGCAAAAGGAACCCAAAGGGAGAACATCAAGCTAAGGAAGAGGTCAGAGAAAGGGAGGATGTCAAGCTAAGAGGTCAGAGAAAGGGAGTATGTCAAGCTAAGGAAGAGGTCAGAGAAAGGGAGCACGTCAAG